CACACACACACACACACACACACAGAGTAATAAACTTCAGAGCCAGTAATCTGGCACATGTTCACAGTTCCAACACTTGGAAGGCTGAGGCTGGAGAACCAGGAGATCAAGGCCAGCCTAGGCTACACAGTAAGGTCCTATATCAGATGGCATGAAAATGGCCTAGGGTATAGCTCAGGAAGGAATTTACCCAGTATTTTCAGGGCCCAGTCCAATCCCTAGCACTGCAAGGAAATGAAAGAGAGGAGGGAGGGGAGGGAAGAGAGAAGCCAGGCCAAGGAGAGGGCCAGGGTGCAAAGTCACTTGCCGTGCAAACCTAGCAACCTAGTCTGAGTTTGATCCCCAGACCCCACATAAGGGCATGGAGCAAAGCAACTCCTCAGAGTTGTCTCCTGAACACCCCCCCTCTCTCTCTCACACACACACACACCATGCACTCACATACACAAGAATAACTTGTATAACTGCTTTCAAAAAACAAAACAACAACCAGTGAGCCCCAGCCAGGTCTATTTTGCTTTTGTTTTTGTTTGAGACTCTCGCCCAAGTTGGCCTGGAACTTGAGATCCTTGTGTCTCCACCTCCTTAGGATTACAGGTGTGCACGTGTACCACCTTGGCAAGCTCTTCATCCAGGTTTTAGGAATTGCTTTAATTCTGGGCACCATGTGTTAAATGGTTATTCCCTTGAATCACCTATGGGGCCCTGAAACACAGAGACAGAGAGTGCTAGAGAAGACAGAAATATAGTTAACAGAGATGTGCTAGGTGGTAGAAGATTGGTGATAGACACCATATAGATAGGTGGAAGGTTGGCTGAGAGCTGGATAGACAGATGAGAAACAGGGGTGGGGAAGGGTGAGGGAAGGCCAACTTCATGCTCATAAGAGTGGTAAGCAAAAGACAGACAGAACTTTCTCATTAGAAGACAACATCCAATGGCCCCAGGTCATCCTGTGGTGCTGAAGATGTCCCAAGCCCTCCTTGGGAGACTAGGAACCATCCACAGAATCAAATCAAAATCCCACCTGATGCACCTAACAGCAGGCAGAGCACCACTTCACTCTGAGATCCAAAAAAGCCTAACCCTTGACCTGGTGGCTATCAGAGAAGGTGAGGCAGCATAATCCACCACAGGAGCAAAGTGCACTTTCTGATATTCCTTGACCATTCATCCACAGGCATCCACCAGAGAGGACAAGGTTGCCTTTAATCCCACAGTTCTGTGAGAGAGAAAAATGGCAGGAGGCATCCTGACACCTTCCTCCAAAGGGCTCTATCAGAAAACCCCTGAACTTGGGATTGGTCTGCCTGCAGGCAGGGCAACAGGTGGTCAAAGCGTAAATAGGGACAAGAAGCCACTCCTCAAATAGCAATCAACCAAATCGAGTTACTGTGTGTTGTTACATGTTGATAGAATTGTAGACAGCTAGCAATGAAATACACAAAATGCCCCCTCCTTATTGAAAAAAAAATAGCTATGAACGGAAAAAAAAGGGAAGTGTGAGAACAGAAATCAGTGGGAGTGAACCTGAGCTGTTAAGAGTGAGTGGTTCATCCTCCAGCCCTGGAAACACACATACAAAAGAGCGAGAGGGAAAGCCAGGTACCTTGACTGACAAGGGTTCTGCCTCCAGAGACTGCAGCCTAGCCCCGTGGTGCATATGAACCTTCTCAACCATCCAGGCCAGTCTCCATCAATTACTATCATTTTGGGTAAATCACTAGTTCGCGCTTTTAGTAAAAATAAGGGCACTGTTTTCAAGCTGGGTGTGGTGGAACACACCAGCAATTTCAGTAATTGGGAGGCAGAGGCAGGAGGATTAGGAGTTCTAGAATAGCCTCAGCTACTTAAGAGACTTTGAGGCCAGCCTGAGCTACATGAAACTCCCATCCCAAAAACATTAGAACACAGTTTTCGTAGGGTCATCGCTAGTATTCAGTTAGTACTTGATGCCAGGCACCTCTGAGTAGCCCTGCACCACTGAGCTGTCCAGCCTGCGCTGACAAAGATGGAAACCTCAGGTGACCCCACACCGACTTAAGAAACACTTTGGCTTTCCTCAGGGCTCCACCAAGCCATGGCCGCCACCGTGTCTCCTGCCAGGCCAGCTCCGGAGGGCAACTGCAAATCGCCTGGAGGAGCGAGTCCAGCCTGATGCCCACCCGAGGCACCCACGGCCGCCAGAGCGAGGCCCCGCGTTCGGGACGCTGCGAGGGTGCCAGCCTTTGCAGCGCAGCGCCACTGAGACCTTTACCTGCCTACGATCACCACCCCGCCTGCTGCGGGGGACGCCATGGCAGATCCGGGCCTGGCAGCACAGCTGCGCTAGCGGAGAGAGCAAGCAGAGCAGACTCTGCAGTGAGCGGGATGGGGCTGGGCGCCAGGGTGGGGCTGGGAGCCAGCGTGGGCGTGCCAGAGCCTCGTGCAGCCGCTCCCATTGGCTACCAAGGTCCAGGGCGGGGCCAAAGTGCAGGAGGGCGGAGCCTGCGGGGCTAGGCGCCAGGTCGGTCACGGGGCTCTACACCCGGAACGTGGGAATTTGGATGAAACAGGGAAGACCAGACGCTTCTGAGCTGAGCAATTTTACTTTTCAGTTTCTAACAAGAAACCATTAAGCCAGTGTCCCTAGGAGCGGATACTGCCAGGTTGACGCAAAGCCTTACCCCAGAGACTTTCAAGAAAATGTTCTTTGAAAGACGTTTAAGACATAGCACCAGTTCGGCACTTTAAGGACATTTGTTTCTCTGTTTACATTCGACTCTACACTGGAGATGCAAGTCTGGTGAGATACCTGCCTCCTGGCTTCACTAATGTGAACTAAGGCCCGGGTACTTAGGGACAACTACAAAGAAAAATTCCGGATATGTCAATCTGAGAAACGGAAGGACGCGTTTGAACTCCTTGTTCAAACCATAGCTACTGTGTGCTTTACTTCCTCCTTCCATAGGCGTGCGGAGCCAAGTGTGTTAAGAAAAAGAAAAGGCCAAGTGGGGTATGCACCGCACCTGCTCTCCCAAAACCTGGGAGGCGGAGCCAGAGTTTGCCCCACCCAGGGCAGCATACAGAGATAGCTAGACCCTGTTCCCACCCACCCAAAAAAAATGTCTAGTGCCTTGACTCCTGGCTCTTTTAATTGAGAACAGACAAAGAACGAGAGGAATCACACTGCATGGCTTCACACATCACAATCAGTAGTGGAAACACATCGTGCCCAGGAGTTTGGGCAAAACTGAAAACAGAATGCGCTAACACGGACAGATTCAGGAGAATAGACACTTGCCTTATTCCCACCCCCACCTCCCACCCCGTTGTTGTCGGGGATATGGAAAGAGAAACCTCTGAAGTGGTTAGGTTTGTTTGTTTGTTTGTTTGTTTGTTTGTTTGTTTTTCCAAGACTGGATGAGAAGTCCAAATTTCCACCTTTTTACAACTGGATGTAGGTTTTTAGTCACCATTTTGTACAAGTGAACACCCACCTGGCATATGTTAGAAAATAAACGCTCTTTGCATAGTATTTGAGTCTTGGATCTTCCCTCAGCATTTTCTTGGACCCCTACAAGGGTTTCTCTCTGTAGCCCTGCCTATCTAGGAACTCTCTTTCTAGACCAGGCTGGACTTGAACTCACAGAGATCCACCTGCCTCTACCTCCCAACTGCTGGGATTAAAGGTGTGTGCCACCACTGCCCAGTGAGGTTAGGTTTTTAAAGAATTTCACAGATTATCAATAAACATTTGAAGCCCCTAAGCTTCATTTAAATGAGATGAAAAGTAATACAAGGAAAACACCTTTCACCCACCAAATATTGACCAAACTGATGACCCATCCCTCTCGGCAAGAGACTCTCGAAGATTATATTGGCTGATTTTGTGTCAACTTGACATAAGAGATCATCAGAGATGAAGGAGCCTCAGCCCTGGGCAGGAGGTCCTGGATTCTATAAGAAAGCAGGCTGAGCAAGCCATGTGGAGCAAGCCAGTAAGCAGCACCCCTCTATAGCCTCTGCATCAGCTCCAGCTTCCAGGTTCCTGCCCAACTTGAGTTTCTGTCCTATGTTCCTTTAATGATAAACAGCAATGTGGAAGTGTAATCTGAATAAACCCTTTCTTTCCCAACTTTTTGGTCATGGTGTTTCGTTGCAGCAATAGAAACCCTAACTAAGACACAGGTGTGCAACTCTTTCTTACAAAACCTAAGGCAGCTTTAAACTGCCTCTGCCTTTCTAGAGGGGAGGTCAAAATGGCTGAGGTAATGCCCTCCTAACTCTATTTTGTGTCTGCCTAGTACTCCTCAGCCTTCAAACCACCCTCCCCAAAAGCCATATCTGCCTTGGCAATGCTTTTATTTTTCTCTCTGACCCTGACCATCATCCAGACATATTAACCAAAATAATAAATGCTTGTGCAAGCTAAAATTAAAATCAGAGGAAGTATAAATAAAAAAGAATTGCCATATAGTGTCTCAAAAACACTGCTGAGTTTTCCAAGAAAACAGATGTTAATAGGACACCCCAAATCCCTTACCAATGGGAACCCTGGGTCTAACACTAATGTAATTATTTTTTATCTTTAAAAACAACTGTACCCCAAGGAACATTTTGGAGGCATGAGCCCACTGTTGGTCTGGCCATTAATAAAGGACTCATATAATTTTAGTTGGCTTACTTAGCTTGGTTGTCAATAGCTATCTCTTGTGGATCATTTTAAGGTCACAGTAGGTCACTAGGAGAGCATCTGTCACAGCTCAGACTCCACAGCCTCCATCTCCTGATGATAATAGTTTCTGAAACAGACACAAAAGATTACATGGGTCTAGGCAACAACGCAAGGACCCTGAACTGCTCACCTCTGAGGAGGAAGTCTGGGCGTGCTATCTCACTGGTATCATGCACAGTATGCAGGAGGATTGATTGATCTCAGAAGTTCAAGGCTGACCTAGACAAGTAGGTAAGACCCTCTAATTAATCAATTGAAACTTTAAAAAAAAATAAAAGAACACCTTGAAAATGCCCTAACACTGGCTTACTTTTAATCTCAGTCAAAGAGACTATACCTCTTAACCTGTAGGCCTTTTGCTAACAAAAGAAAACCAAGTTCATTCGTTGGCTAGCAACTGGGTGAAAATCTTAGACCTTCACAGTTATTAGTACATTACAGAATTTAAAATATAAGTACTATTTTGTTTGTTTGTTTTTACCATGCTGGAGACCAAACCAGGGCCTTGTGCCTGCTAGGCCAGTGCTGTACCACAGAGCTACCCACCCCCCACCCCCAACTTGTATGAACCTTTTGGCTTAATTTCAATTTTAAAATCTGTTTCACAAAAATATAGAGAGATAAGGATATGAAAAAAAGTGTTATGCAGACTTCCAGGGAGAAAAATCGCCAAGCTGTGAACCCCACCATTCTACACCACTGACTGGCCAAGCAAGACATGACCACTGAAACAATAGTGGAATGGCTGTTTGGGGAGCAACCAACTTTGTTTTTTTGTTTGTTTAAGACAGGGTTTCTCTGTTTAGTCCTGGCTGCCCTGGAACTGGCTCTGTAGACCAAACTGACCTCAAACTCACAGAGATCCCCCTGCCTCTGCTTCCAGAATGCTGGGATAAAAGGTGCGAACCACTACCATCCGGCTTCCTCTTTTTTATTCTCATTTTCATTTTCATGATACTAAGGAATTAAATGTTAAATCAGTGTATTCCCACACACTAAGCAAGGCCTCTGCCACAGAGCAACTGCCTCAGCCCTCAGTTTGGATCCTAAGAGTTTCTCACATGCCCACATGTTGAATGCTTTGTTCTCAATCTGTGGCACTTTTGAGGGGTGACAGAATCTTTAGGAGGTGGGACTTGGAGGAAGTTAGGATACTGAATAATGAGCAAACACAACCTTGAGTGGCATATTGGGACCCCAGTCCTTGTCCTCTTTTCTTCTGCTTCCTGACCACAGTGAGGTAAACAGATCTCCTTTGTCATCACTGCCTCCATGACGTACTTTACTGTCAAAGGTCCAAAGCAATGGGGCCAACTGACCCTCCGTAAGATCACGAGACAGAATAAAGGTGTCCCTTCTTCAAGTTGATCATCTCAGGCATTTTGTTGAAGTGACTAAAGCTTTTTTCAATAAGGTGGCCACCAGCCACATGTATTGACTGCTACTTTAACTATGACTGCAGTAGCCAAGGAAATTCATTTTATTTCAGCTAATTCTACTTTCAGTAAATGGCCATATGCATCCGGTATTGGATAGCTCAATTCTAGGCATTGAGAACAATGGTAACCAAGACCAACAAAGACCTTTAGTTTCATGAAGTGTCTTCTAAGTAAAGATACAGAAACTAAACAATGACAAATAAGCAGAATATAGGGTTTGGGAATAAATGGTTAGCAAAGGCCTCTTTTGGGAAGGTGAGATTTGAATCACTGGGGTTTTTTGTTTTAGTTTTTTGTTTCTGTTTTCTGTTTACTTTGGACGGAGGGAGACATTCAGATTGATCCGTGGACCTGGTGCATGGTAGGCAAGCCTTCTACCACTGAGCTATATCTTCAGCCTGAGATTTGAGGTGTTGAAATACCTCTGCTGACCTACAGCCTCTCCAAATCCAAGACTGTTCTCACTAGAAGTTATTATCAGAAACTTCCTCTCTTTTTAAGTAGCCTATGCCATTTCCCCTTTGCAGCTCTGACAACTTCTTCCATGATGGCTGCTCTTTTCTCTGAGCTCCTTGGATGCTGGTCACCAGCACTGCACAGTGTGGCCCTCAAGTTTCGGTTATTCATTCACTCAATTTTTTTTACTATGCGAACCAGTTTGTTAATAAATGTTTAATGTTTAGTCTTCCACCAAATTATAAGTGTGCCGGGTTTTTCCTTACTAAGCACATAATAGGTTTAATCTTTAAAGATGCTCCTGAAAACTCTCTCTTGTTTCCAAAACCAAGGGAAGAAACAAAGCATTCTCCTGTTTTATTTCCTTTTCCAGTTTGACAGTGACACTGTGCAGGTAAGGGCATCCATGCCACTGGAATCTGCCAGGCTTTAAAGTGGTCTGCTCTACTCATACGTTATAGAAGGACAGATCAAAGCACTGAACCCCAGAGCAAAGAAGTTGAGGTAACATAAAATTCAAAATAGGCAAGCCAGGAACATTGGCACATGTCTGTAATGGCAGCTTGTCAGGATGCTGAGGCAGGAGAGTGCCTTGAGCCCAGGAGTTCCAAACCAACCCAAGCAACACAAGGGGATTCAGGTTCAAAATGAAGAACAAAAGTTTATTTTAAAGCCTTAAATAAGGCCTGGCAGTGATGGTGCACACTTTTAATCCCAGCACTCAGGAGGCAGAGGCACGAGCATCTCTGTGAGTTTGAGGCCAGCATAGTCTACAGAGTTCTAGGACTATGAGAGACCTGTCTTAAACACACACACACACACACACACACACACACACACACACACACAATCCTTAAATAGGAAAAATAAAACTGTTCCCAGCACTTCAGTTCTAGGCCAGCCTGGGCTATATAGTGGGACCCTGGAGAGGGCAGGGTGGGAAGCCAGAAAGAAGGGAGGGAGGGAGGAATATACTTTTGTTGGGAGAGGCAGGGACCCTTAAAATAGACTACATAATATATTACATCACTTTGGTGTATCATAATAATTATTAGAAAAAAATCAGCTGTGGGGTATGTGGTTAGATTATTTTTCAAGGGATGGCTCAGCAGTTAAGAGACTGACTGCTCTCCCCAAGGACCCAGGTTTGATTCCCAGCACCCACATGTAGCTCAAGCTATCTGTAACTCCAGTTCTAAGGGATCCAGTGCCCTCTTCTGTCCTCTGTGGACATCAGGCACATTCGTGGTACACAGACATACATGTGGACAAAACACCCATACACATAAAATAAAAATAAGTAAATCTCACAAGTTTTTCAAGCCTTGTAAACGTCTATTTCATAACAATAAAAAAATTATTTAAGAGAGTTAAACTACAGCCTGGTGGTGGCAGCACACTCCTTTAATCCAAGCACTCGGGCTGTGGGGCAGAGGCAGGAGAATCACTGAGTTCAGGGCCAGCCTGGTCTACAGAGAGAGTTCCAGGACACAGAGAAACTCTGTCTCAAAAAAGAAGAGAGAGAGAGAGAGAGAGAGAGAGAGAGAGAGAGAGAGAGTAAACTATAGATCTCATTTGTCAGCATTAACTGCTGGGTATGAGCTAAAGAACTCTGCTATGAAAGACAGGCAATCAAGATCCAATTCTAATATTGTCTCACATTCCCAAAACTGAATGGAGGAATTGATTCCCTTGACTTTAATTAAGGAAAGCCTGGGTGGGCTCCTGGTCATCCTGCCACATTTATGAATAGAAAAGAAGCCTAGGGGGTGGAGAAATGGCTCAGCAGTTACACCGGATACTCTCCCAGAGGTACTGAGTTCAATTCCCAGAAACCATATAGTGGCTCATAACCATCTACAATGGGATCTGATGTCCTCTTCTGACATGCCAATACAGAACTCATATACATAAAATAAATAAATCTTTTAAATAAAAAAGAGTACATACTAGTCTAAAAAGAAGAGGAAGAGGAAGAAAGGTTGGAAGAAGGAGGAGGAGGGAGACAGGAGAAGGAGGAAAAGGAGGAGGAGGAAGAAAAAGAAGAAGGGGAATTCCGTTATAAAGAGCCTCATTTGGGGAGCTCATCCAGTCCCCATTGGCAGCACTTGCAAGGAGGGAAGAAAGAAGAGTCAGGTAGAATCAGGCTATGTCTCAGTCACCTCTGCCCCTCAGTCATCTCTTGACCCCTTGGACGGACTGGACCTTTAGAGGGACCCTCTGGGTCGTGTAAACTAACTCCTGCTCCTTTGTTTGCCTTCCCTCCCTCCCTCCAATGTCCTGCTTTGCCACACTCTCCTGTGGGAGTCTGGCTGACCCAGGTGAACCTGTCCTCTTTGTCTGGAGTCACGTGGTCCTGAGAGTCTCCCATGTGTTCCTCATCTGTGTTCACTTAAAAAACTCCAACTTTTACTGATATCAACCTAGCAACATTTCCTGCCTTTGCTGAGCAAGGATTTAACCCATTCCCCACCCCTACTTCATTCTTTATGCTTTTTAGATCTTTTTGAAGTCAAAACTAACCCATCAATCCATGTCCCAAATCACAGTTCTCTGAGTGGTTGTCAGAGGCAGGGCTTCATACTTTCAGATTCAACTACACAGCAAATATATTTTTGAAGAACAACTACATTTGCAAGGAACATGCACAGACTTTTCTCTCGTAATTGGTCCCTCAACAATCAGTGTAGCAACTATTTCCATACTGTTGGCATTGTGGGCACGGAAGAAAGCACAACGCATGCAGGTTTTATGTAAACACTACTCCATTTTATTTAAGAGCTTTGTCATCTATGGATTTGCACACTGTCTTATCACCACTCCTAAATCTACAGCAGTCTTAAGACAACTAGAAAAAACAGCTAGCTTTATATCCTCCTTCCTGCCCACTTGTCCTTTACCTGCATTCTGTCCTTCCTTGTCACCTCGTAGTTAGCCTTTCTTATTCTCCCTTCTGCTTGTTATACTGGACCCACGTGTGTAAACCCCAGTGTGAAGCCCCATGCTTTCACAATGGCAGTTCTAACTGTATACAGGCTCATTGAGATGGATAGACTTTGAGTATGGCTAGTCTCCATTCACGATATGTTTTCTTTGCAATAATATTTGTTTTTTTTTAAGACATAAACCCTGACCAGCTCAAAATTCTTGTGTGTACATGTTCATGCATGTATGTGCGGGTGCATGTGAGTACATATCTGTGCACCCAAGCGTGGAGACCAGAGGTGTTTTCCCCAATTGCTCTCTACCTTAGTTTTTCCAGGGTACTCCAGGTATTTGCTTGTCTTCACCTCCAGGCACCAGGCACACACACACACACACACA